TTCCGAGATGAGTACGTTCCCCAGGTGGAGAGGGAGCGTTTGGCCCAGGAGTTTCTGACCCTCAAGCAGGGCACTGAGTCTGTTACAGTGATCACCAGGATGTTTCACGAGAGGGCGATGTTCTGCCCTGAGCACGTGTCCACTGAGCAGGCACGTATGAGTCGATATTTGAGTATTTTGAGATGGGACATTCGGGAGTTCGTGGCGAAATCCTCATACCGAACATTTTCCGAGCTTCAGGCAAATGCCCGGAAGAGGGAGATTGAGCTGGAGACCCAGGCAGGCTAGGGAGTAGGCTGAGTCTCATGTGAGGGATCGGCGACCGGTACATTTCCAGCCGGCAGCCAAGCGGGCCAAGCCCGTTGATCCTAAATCAGGGAGCCAGAAGGGCCGCACTTGTGGAAAGTGTGGCAAGGGTCATGATGAAGTGTGTAGAGTGGGATCTTGCTACAAATGTGGCAAGGAGGTGCATATGGCCAAGGACTACCCCAAGGGGTTTGCAATATGTTTTCACTGCAACCAGACCGGACACCGAAAGGCGGAGTGTCCGCAGTTACGGGGATCAGCTCAGGGAGCACCTCAGGGATCTGCCCCTGCCGCCATCAGAGCTACCGGGAGTGGGCCAGTGAAGGCCGAGGCGCCGAGGGCACGTGGAAGAGCATTTCAGGTGACCGTGGAGGAGGTCCGCGCAACGCCCGATGTCGTGGCTGGTATGTATTCTTTCGTGTATTTATTTTAATGTTGAAATATTATGCTTATATCATGTTATGCGTAGGTACTTTTCTTGTGAATTCTGTACCTGCCTTGATATTATTTGACTCGAGTGCGAGTCGGTCCTTTGTATCTTTGGCCTTTAGTCAGCACATCAGTGTTAGTCGCGAGGCGCTGAGTCGACCTCTGAGAGTTTCTATAGCTGACGAGAAGGCGATATATGCCACGGAGGTGATCTGTGGGTGCGTACTCGAGATTTTTGGTGTTGAGTTCCCGATTGATTTTGTTCCTATTTCCATGGGGGATGTTTGTGTCATCGTGGGCATGGACTGGTTGAGCAAGTTCGGTGCGGTTATCGACTGCGAGCGGCAGCTAGTGACCATATGAGACCCTAGTGGGGGAGTTCTTACAGTGTACGGTGAGGGTACCCGTTCTGGATCAGCATTTTGTTCGGCCGCTAGGGTGAGGCAGTGTTTACAGTAGGGCTGTAAGGGTTTTGTGGCGTACGTGTCAGATACGCGGGTTGATTCCAGGAGGCCGAGGTTGGTGGAGGAGGTTCCTATAGTGCGTGAGTTTCCGGATGTCTTTCCAGAGGAGTTGCCGGGGGTGCCTCCCGTGAGGCAACAAGAGTTCGGTATTGATTTGGTCCCCGGGGGCCGCGCCTATCGCTAAGGTGCCTTATCGTCTTGCACCTCCAGAGATGCAAGAGCTATCCTCGCAGCTTAAGGAGCTGCTGGGGAAGGGGTTTATTCGGCCGAGTAGCTCGCCGTGGGGAGCGCCCCATTCTGTTTGTAAAGAAGAAGGATGGTTCACACCGGATGTGTATTGATTACCGGGAGTTGAACAAGCTGATGGTCAAGAACCGTTACCCGTTGCCGAGGATCGATGATTTGTTCGACCAGTTGCAGGGAGCATCTTGGTTCTCCAAGGTCGATTTGAGGTCCGGATACCATCAGGTGAGGGTACGAGATGAGGACGTCCAGAAGATAGCGTTTAGGACGCGTTATGGGCATTATGAGTTTGTGGTGATGCCTTTTGGGCTCACCAATGCTCCGGCAGTATTCATGGATCTGATGAATCGGGTATGCAGGCCGATGTTGGATCGGTCGGTGATCGTATTTATTGATGACATTTTGGTATATTCGAGATCTAGGGAGCAGCATGAGGAGAATTTGAGGGAGATCCTCGGAGTTCTGAGATCGGAGAGGCTTTATGCCAAATTCTCCAAGTGTGACTTCTAGTTGCGAGAGGTCCAGTTCCTTGGACATCTTGTTAACCAGGATGGGATATTGGTCGATCCAACCAAAGTGGAGGCAGTTATGAGTTGGGAAGTGCCGAGGTCACCCTCCGAGATCAGGAGTTTTCTAGGGTTGGCCGGTTATTATCGGAGATTTATCAGGGATTTCTCTAAGATCGCAATGCCACTCACTAGGTTGACCCGGAAGGGTGTTGCTTTTTCATGGGGCCCCGAGCAGCATGCCTCCTTTGAGACGCTTCACCAAAGGTTATGCGAGGCCCCGGTGTTAGCCCTCCCAGAGGGAATGGAGGATTTTTTTGTATACTGCGATGCATCGATTTTGGGATTGGGAGCGGTACTGATGCAGAGAGGGCATGTGATAGCGTATGCATCGAGGCAGTTGAAGCCTCATGAGTCGAGGTATCCCACCCATGACCTGGTGTTGGGGGCTGTCATGTTCGCCCTCAAGATTTGGCACCATTATTTGTATGGGGTTCGGTGTATGATATACACGGACCATAAGAGTCTGAAGTATTTGATGGATCAGCCCAACCTAAATATGCGGCAGAGGAGGTGGTTGGATGTGGTTAAGGATTATGATTGTGAGATCCTGTACCATCCGGGCAAGGCTAATGTGGTAGCCGACGCCCTGAGTCGCCAGGCGTAGAATGCCCCGTTGCGAGATGTATGTTTGCGTTTGACCGTGATGACTCCGGTGTTGGATACCATTCGAGGAGCACATGCTGAGGCAGCGAGGTCGGAAAATCATAAGAGAGAGCGAGTTGTTGGACTGGTATCGGAGTTCGTTACCGATGGTCGGGGGCTTATGACTTTTCAGGGGCGTATTTGGGTACCGTTCATTGGAGGTGCGCATGCCATTTTGATGGAAGAGGCTCATCGGTCGAAATTCTCGATCCATCCCGGGGCCACTAAGATGTATTTGGATTTGAGGAGGGAATATTGGTGGCCCTGTATGAAGAGAGATGTTGTGTGGTTCGTTGAGAGGTGCTTAACCTGCCGTAAGGTTAAGGCCGAACATCAGAGGCCGCATGGTAAGTTGCAGCCATTGGAGGTTCCCGAATGGAAATGGGAATAGATCACCATGGATTTCATCACCAAATTGCCAAGGACTGCTCGGGGAGTTGATGCAATTTGGGTGATTGTGGATAGGTTGACGAAGAGCGCTCACTTCCTTGCCATCAGTGAGAGTTCTTCCGCAGAGAAGTTAGCAGAGATATATGTGAGGGAAGTGGTATCGCGACATGGAGTGCCGATCTCGATTGTCTCCGACCAGGACATGCGTTTCACTTCCAGGTTCTGGAAGAAGTTCCATGAGGAGTTGGGTACTAGGCTACATTTTAGTACCCCATATCACCCCCAGACAGACGGACAGAGTGAGCGGACGATTCAGACCCTCGAGGACACGCTCCGAGCATGTGTATTGGATTTCGGGGGAAGTTGGCATACGTATCTGCCGTTGGCCGAGTTTTCTTACAACAACAGCCATCATTCGAGCATCGGTATGCCACCCTTTGAGCTGTTGTACGGGAGGAAGTGTCGAACCCCCATTTGTTGGGGAGAAGTCGGACAGCATGTTATGGGCAACACGGAGATAGTGCTTCAGATGACAGAGCAGATCCAGCAGGTCAGATAGAGGTTACTGACTGCTCAGAGTCGACAGAAGAGTTATGCAAATAGACGCCGATCCGAACTTGAGTTCCAGGTCGGTGATTTTGTACTCCTGAAGGTCTCTCCTTGGAAAGGAGTGATCCGATTCAGGAAGAGGGGCAAGTTAGGGCCCTGATACATCGGACCATTTCGGGTAGTCGCAAGGGTAGGCAGGTAGCCTATCACTTGGATTTTCCAGTAGAGTTGGGGCAGATTCACGACACTTTCCATGTGTCGCAATTACGGAAGTCTATAGCCGATGAGTCGACAGTGGTTCCATTAGATGATATTCAGGTAGATGCGAGCCTGAATTATGCTGAGAGACCAGTGGCCATCAGAGATCGGAAAACAAAGTTCTGAGGAACAAGGAGGTACCTTTGGTCTTGGTTCAGTGGCAGCATCGGAAGGGGTCCGAGATGACGTGGGAATCGGAGCGTGAGATGCGAGAGCAGCATCCAGAGTTATTTTCAGAGTGAGACTTCGAGGGCGAAGTCTAGTTCTAGTGGGGGAGAATTGTAACAGCCCGGAATCTCCAAGTATTTATTTTGGACTTGTTTATGGAATTGTGAGTGGACTCAGCGAGTTGGAGCCCAGACTCGCCGAGTAGGACCGTGGATTTGGGCATGGGTTTGCGTCCGGACTCGACGAGTCCAAGAGTGGACTCGGCGAGTCCACGCTGTGTGATGAAACCCTAATTTTCGAGGTTTGAGGCCTATTTAAAGGGCCTCACTACTAGAAAAATGACCTTTAATGACGCGCTTTTTACGACACGCACTGATTAATGATACGGAAAAGGACGTGCCCTTAAAATAGTGTCATCTCTCCAAAAAATTAAGGATTTACGCCACGCATTATTGAGTGCCTTTAATTTAGTGTCTCAAGAAAAAAAATTAAAAACACGGAGGGCACTTTATCTTAAACGCGCGTCGTCTGTAGCTGTTGCTTTATAATTTTAATGAAACGCGCTTTTAGTAGACAAGGGGGGAAACGGAATCTCCAAAATTTTGAAAACCCGCCTCGTTTTTTCTTTCTTCTATCTATCTTTCATCCTTGCAATCCACTCTCCCCTCTCTGATACTCTCTCCTCTAGTTCTCCTTTCATTCTCTACCTCCCGTCTCTCTGTAAACCCTAAGCCATCGCCACCTCCCTTCTCTCTAGCACGTGCTAGGGTTTTATTTTCTTCCAAGCTTCCGCTTCTCTCGTTTTCTCTCAACCCAGTACATGCGAGGGTTATGAAATAAAGAAAAACCCTGATGCTCCACAAAGACTCCTTTCTAAAAAATATCATGTAAAGTCGTAGAGACGGAGTCTGAAATCATCAAGAGGAGAACAAGAAGATAAAGCGAAGGTGAATCGTAATTGATATGTGAGGTCTCCTCATTAATGGCGTCGACCAAATCTAAAACCTCGTGTTCAAAAAAATTAGAAAAGTTGAAGACCCCGCCATTGCAGGGACCATTATCTAGGGCTTTTTCAAGGAGTGCTCTCTGTAATGTTCGCTCCCTCACCTCACCTCCTATCGGCGACCTCGGCTCATCTCTTTCCACCGGCGACCTCGGCTCATCTCTTTCCACCAGCGACCTCGGCTCATCTCTTCCACCGGCGACCTCGGCTCATCTCTTTCCACCAGCGACCTCGGGCTCACCTCACGTCACCAGAGACTACAACGACTGCTCAAATTTGCAAGCCCTAAGTACGATTAAGGTATGTTTTTGTTTACATGACCGACCTTATCTTTATCTCGACACTTCTCAACAACAGTCGTCGACTTGCTCGGCCGACCGATGTCCTCCACATCTCCAAATTCTTGCCTTCCCATGGTCTATCAGTTAGATCTAATTTGCCAAAGGTATGTTTTAGGACCTAGAGACGTGTGCTCTGCGTTGTGGCCTGTTAATCACAGAGAATCAACTAATCAGAGGAGACAAAAGGGTCTCCTTTGTTATCAGCTTACCCTTGACTGTCTGTGTGTTGTTTTCCAGGTTCGTATCACAACCCTTAATCATGTTTTTTCAATCATTCCATCGATTCTTCAACTGGATTTCCATTTTTAGTTTCTGTAGTTTATACCCTTAATTGTTCGTGTGAAAGAAATGATAGATTTGATTTGAAGTTGGTTGGATTTTGCAATCCCATTCAGATCTCTGGTTTTAATAAATTCCCTTTAGCTAGATCGTTTTCGGATATCGATTATTGGTTCGGGATTGCAAAATTGGGCTTAATCCACAAGAATATGTGAAAAGCGAATGTTTGAATATCATCGATTTTCGATTCCCATTTTAGAAAAACTATATTATCTTCTATTATTGTGGTCTACCCACTTCAATCGGGTAGACGATTCAAATGTTTTTTTGGTTTATCGTTTTACCAAAAGCGGAAATTAAATCTGTACATTTATTTGTTGTTTTTATTTCGTAATCGATTAATTCGTACATAAAAACACTATCATTACTGTTTAAAGCTTGACGATTCCAAAAAAAAAAACACGACCAAAACACTACGATTTCGTACATAAAACACCATCATCACTGTTTCGATTTTGTGTGAAATTTCAAAGTCTGAAAAACTAACAAACCACTGAACAGATAATCAAGGAAGAAAGCTTTCGATTTTCATGGGTGGTTTTGACGATCATGGTGGGATAATTGGCGATTGGATGCCTCCGAGCCCTAGCCCTAGGTCTTTTTTTGCAGCTGTGTTGGGGGATGATCCTGGTTCAAGATCAGTACCCGACCCTCCAAAAAACGATACCAATAAAGACACCGGGTTCACTTTCCCTGGACCAAATCCCCAAATCGGGTCTGAAAATGGCGATGCGACAAAATCAAGTGAGTTTGGTGATCAAAAAACGAGCTCAAGGGCACCTCTTGTTGAAAGAATGGCAGCTAGAGCTGGTCATATTGCTCCTAGGTTGAATACAGAGATTATAAAATCTTCTGTTAATTCACAAACTCAACAATCTCCGTATTTATTTTCACCTGGTGTTAGCCCAACTTCTTTTCTGGAATCACCTGTTTTCCTTTCCAACTCATTGGTAAGCTCACTAGATAAACTAGGGGTATATTAGTAATTTACTATACTAAATGATCCTTTCTGTTGTAGGTTCAACCATCTCCAACTACTGGAAAGTTCCAATTTGTTCCAAATGGTAATGGTAGAAGCTCCATGATGTTCTTGGATTCCTCTAATAGGGTTAAAGAAAATTTCTTTGAGGACACTAATAACACTTGTTTTGCCTTTAAGCCTCACCATCTACAATGAAATCCTAGGTCAATGATCTGTATTGATATGAAATGGGTTGTTTACAGGTATTCCTTTTCCCCAACATGAAAAATCCAAATAAAAAGATTCTAGACTTGGAGCTATGGACTAAATGTATGTAGGTTTGACTGATTTGTTTCTGAATTGTGTGTATATATGCTTCAACAGAAAGTGATTGGTTGTTGATCTTGAATAATTATATTTTCTTGATGCAACAGATACTTGTCTGATTGAATCGTTTTTATGCTGGTCGATCTTATGTTGCTCTGCTGGAATTTTCATCTTGAGATAAAACATCCTAGTTGAATTCATTTTGCTGCCTTTAATTTTTTGTGTTGAAATGTTTACTAATGAACTGTTGAAACAAACATACTTTCTGAAATATATTTGCTAAAATCTCATGCTGAAATCTGATGTTGGGATATGATTTGAATCTTTTTTTTTTAAATCTATTTGCTTGAAATCTTTGTTCTATGTTAAATGTAAGTACTCCACCGGTAAGCTCTCTCTTTATGCTAATTGGTTTGTTTTGAATTATAACTTATCGAATTATATGTTCACAGTAAAGAGAATCAGGGGCATTTGGGAAATCATCAAGTAAAGAGAATCAGGAGCATTTGGGAAATCATCAAGCTCTCTCTCATGCCTAAAATGCCCCTGTCCCATGCCATATAATTTTCAACTTTTTTTTTGAAACATTTTTCTCGGTCTTGTTGCTTACTTGTTTTGTAATCATTTGAAGTATAATAAAAGTTTAGTTAAAGTTAAATAATTGTTATAGTTAATTAATTTTTGATTCCATTCAAGAATTCCCCTTCTTATCATGCAGGTTTGAGAAACAAGATGGGGAAAAATACTTCAAATAGCTGCAAAAGAAACCATGGACCCTGAACTCATTGACTTTGTTGACTGGCAGAAGGTATAAGAAACTCACGTTCAATGACATCATTCTTTTTTCTTCTAATACCACACTACCTTTTGTGTTCAGGTGGCTGAAAAAATTGCTTTCTTACATCCTGTTGAAGTCAAACTTGTTCCCATGTGTGCTGTCATTTTTATTTTTTCCTTCTTCTTCCGTAAGTGTGCTGTCATTTTTTTCAAATATTTTTGAACATCTTTATCCAGATAGCACTTGATGCGAAAAAAAAAACAGGGCTTAAGTGAATGAACTAATATTAGCTAACAGAAGTCCCGTGGATATATATATTATTGTTCACATCCTAAGTTTTAATTATTATTTAATAATAATAATTACAGGTAAAAAGAAAGATAATAAACATAGTTAGTTAATTTCTAAGACAGTATTAACTTTTGTTTTTGGATTTACAAGTACTAAGAACATAATTGATGCTTGTACTAAACTTAATGTGAAGAGGCTTATCTATACAAGTTCTCCTAGTGTGGTTTTTGATGGGATACATGGAATACATAATGGAGAAGAATCATTGCCATACAAGTCCAGATGTGAGTTTGATGATTTGTATTCCCATATTTTATTAAACTTAAAATTGCTTAGTTTTGTAAACTGGCATTTTTTATTTTTTTAAAAACTTGAAGTCTTGAAAGTGAAATGATATATATATATATATATATATATATATATATATATATATATATATATATATAGAATCTGAATGGAAAATAATATGATATTTTATTAGTTTTACTTTGTTTCTTTTTTTATCTTAATAGGCTTAATGGGTTAAGTACTTAATCCAGAAAGCTACATATAGTTGTTTCCTTTTGACTTAATTTGGACATAATTACTTGATGAGTTAACCAAAAAAGCTTGCCACATATTTTAGATAAGGGTATTATGGGAAAATCCTACGAATAAAGGGCTTATTAATGGGAGGGGCATTTTGGGTAATTCTTTATATATTTTGTTTGTTGCAATAGAGTATATAAGTGGGTAGAAGGATTGGGGGATGGTTATCTGTCATGATAAATGAAGATTTTCACTGTCACTGCCTTCTCTGCTATCAGGAATATACATATTTCATGGTCTTTTTCCTTTTTTAATGGTAAACATCCATCAATTTTGAATTAACTCTCTTTTATCAAATATCATGTTCTTCATTTTAGAGAACATTAATCTCTGTTAGTTTTTATTTATTTACTTATCCTGTTATGTGTTGGATTACAGCAGTGAAAGGAGCATTAAAAATAAAAAACGAAAACAAAAATATAATTCTCTCCTTATTATCATATGCCTAATATATTTTGTACTTCAATTTGCAGAAAGATCATCAAGCAATAGATATCCTTTTAGCAGAGATCAATATATATGAGCTTTTTGCTTTGAAACATTATTGGGGAAGAAGGTTGAAACTTGCTCTTTGTGAGTAATTTTTTTTTCTTAATGTATTATCCTCTATATTCTTGAGATTTTCCCACTTTTTAAATCTTTTATCAAATTCTCACTTTTGGATACAGAGCTTGATGAGAGAATGTGTGACCTAAATCTTTTATCAAATTCTCACTTTTGGAGGTGGCCATAAGAAAAGGTAAGCAAAGGGTAATTTGGTATTTGTTGCTGTTATTGTGTATTACAATACTTCCATGTATATATGTATAAAGTTTGTTCTTATTCAGATTTGCCTTTTACCATTGATTTCCTTATTGAGGCATTGTACTTTGAAAATGTTAATTCTTACCTTTTGTCCATGTAGGATCCACCAGGAACAGGAAAAACACAAACAATTCTTGGGATTCTTAGTGCCATATTACATACCAACTAAGTCTCTTAACTTTGTAAGACATTGATTACTTGAGGGTATTTTTAGTAACATTGTAAGAGATTGATTACTTGAGGGTACTTATGGTATATAATGTTATATTCTTTTGTTAACATGGTCCTTAGTGCAATGAATTATCTTTATTGTTTATGGTATTTTATTTTGTATTATGAGACTTTTAATGTGTTATTTAATTTGAAAATTAGTAAATCTATCAAAAAAAGTAATTTATTTCTATTATGAGAAATTAAATGCAAATTTAATTTAAAAATTAATAAATATATAATTTTTTTTAAACATTTAAATTTACGATACGCAAAAATGTGTGTCATCTTCATTTATGACATGGCCTTTCTTGACAGGGGCTTTCTTGATACGCATTGCGTCTCATTAACACGCGCGTCATAAGGTTACGACACGCGAATGCGAGTCGTCTTCCTTTATGACAGGGCCTTCCTTGATACGCATTGCGTGTCGTAAACGCGCGTCGTAATTGCGCATCGTAAATGAGCGTCGTAAATGCGCGTCGTCTATAGACGACGCGCAAAAGCGCGTCGTCTCTCTTTATGACAGGGCCTTCCTTGACGCGCATTTGCGCATCGTCTGAGCCTTTTACGACGCGCAATGAGCGTCGTAAAAGGCTGTTTTTCTAGTAGTGCCTTATGGCCGTCATTTGTGCTCACCTAACCCTTAGAGAGAAACCCTTGAGTGCTTGAACGTTTTGAGAGAGTAAGGAAGCATTCTTGACCTTGTGTGTGTCATTTAGCAAAGAAGGAGAAGATTCTAGGCAAGAGGAAGCAAAGGAGGTTGCTATTTCGTGGATTTGAAGCTTAG